CAAAACAATTCTAAACACGCGCATAAACGCCGCATTAAAGTTATGATTCAATATCAACGGCTGAGATCGACTCATCCGGAATACAGGGCCATTAATATGTGTATGCCAGGGATTTGTTCGGCGGTCAATTGAAAAATGGGATCAGAATAAACCACAATAAATAACAACCGGAAAGCCGGAAACTATGAAAAGGGAAAAAATAAAAAATACAAAAAAGGGGAGCATTTTTTCTTTTCTTTCTTCTCTTTTATGAGACAAACCCATTTTTAAAAACCTTTATTTTAATTCCTAGAGTTTCACATCGGACAGCAAATAAACTTTTGTTACTTTGTGACAAATGGAGGGTCCTTAGCTTCCTCTCCTTCTCTCTCTCCTTTCTTCACTCTCTGTGTCTGCGCGCAAAATCAACCGCCGGAAAATCGATTCCTTCCTTCTTCTTGTTTCTTGTTTTCAACTTCCAATCTGTGAATCTAATCAGGTAAATCTCTTTCCATTTTTACTTTTTAAGCATTTTTTTTTTCTGAGGAATATGCTGCAGATTCGGTTCTGTGTGTTTCTTTTTTCTTTTTTTTTGTTTTATGCCTTGTTGTTGATGCTACCTTTTTTTTTTTTTTTCTTTCTTTCTATTCTTCTGGTTAAAATTTTTCTGATATTATGTTTGTTTCCTGAGAAAATGAGGAGTTAATTTGTGGAACCTTGCTTTTTGTGTCTGTTTCGTTTCCATGCAGCTAAGAGATACTCTCATGAGGTTTAAATTTCCATTACCTCTACTGTTTTCTCGCCTTTTCCTAGCAACCAAACATGCTCGTCTTCTTAATTTTATTAATGAATTTTTTTGCTTTTTATTTTTTCGTTTTTGTGAATGTCGCGTATTTCCCCCCCTTTTTCTGGAGTGCATTTATGGTTATTAACACTTGATAGCAAATACTTTAAGTTATCAAGCTACAGCTATTGGATTTCTATTAAATTTCGTTTGATTTATAGTAGTTTATTCCACGATTCATTTCTTGGATGCTAAATGTTTCTTGAGTTCTAAAATATCTGCTACTTGTCATCATGTGTTTTTGGATTAACTAATTTATCCAGATTTCTATTTCCCCCTCCGCTTTAACATAACAGATTTTCATTCATATGCCTTAAAATTTGAGATCTCTTTATTTAGGTTGTCCTGTTGTTCAATGATCTGTCAAACCTTGTGCTATTTTATATCTGTTTTACCTTTTGATTTCCTTAACTTTTAGCATAATTCGTTGGAAGAACATACTTAATAGTTTTTGATTTGTGGATGTTTGATTAGATTATAGGTGTTTTATTTTCTACTTCAGTTCTTGAATAATTAAAGTTGGAGTTAAATTTGGGATATTTGTGAATTTCTTAAGCTCTTTTGTGTTTGATAAAATTAAGCAGGCTGTGAAGGATTTGGTGGTTAAAATTGTCTGAATTCTGATGTCTCCGCCATTACTTGGTGACGGCGTGGAGGAGGAAGGAGCAGGTCAAAGCAGTGTTACTTTGCTTGCTTCTTCAGGTTCTGCTGAAAGTGTTTGCCAGAGAAATGCTGAACTGAGGGAACGCAACTACATGGGATTGTCTGATTGTTCTTCAGTTGACAGCTCAGGGCCATCCCTTATGTCTGATGGTGGAAAGGCTAATCTGAATCTGAAGGCAACAGAGCTCAGGCTTGGGCTTCCTGGATCTCAGTCTCCTGAAAGAAATCGGGAGCTTTGTCTGCTTAGCTCTGCACAACTTGATGAGAAGACTCTATTCCCTTTGCATCCCTCAAGTGATGGTCACTGCTCTTCATCTCAGAAGACTCTTGTTTTGGGCAACAAGAGAGGATTCTCTGATGCAATGGATGGGTTTTCAGAGGTGAAAGTGAAACTCCCTGCTTTTAAATGGTTTGCAATAGAGTGTATTTTCTTAGAGGTTTAACTTGAAAATGGAAAATATGTGGTGCAGGGAAAATTTCTTTCTAACTCAGAAGTCAATGTGATGCTGTCACCTAGGCCATCTTCAAACTTGGGATTGAAAGCAGGTTCTGTGCTTGAAAACCTTGGGTCTCAACCAACAAAAGCAAAAGAGATAGCAATTCAAAAGGTTTTAGACGGGCCTAATGCTACCAATGAGACCAGGCCTAACCATAATGGTTCTGCAAACAACAATAGCGGTGCACCTGCTACCAAGTAAGTCTGACTGAGTTCTAAGGATGAGTAAGTTGACTGAGTTTGAGGGATAAGTTTGGGCTTAAGCAGTAGAATATCTTCTATCTTCCTTGATTTTGCAGGGCGCAGGTTGTGGGTTGGCCCCCAATCAGATCATATAGGAAGAACTCATTGGCCACCACTTCAAAGAACGTTGATGAGGTAGATGGAAAGGCAGGGCCTGGTGCTCTCTTTGTGAAAGTCAGTATGGATGGTGCTCCTTATTTGAGAAAAGTAGCCTTGAAAAACTACTCTAAATATCAGGAGCTATCTTCTGCCCTTGAGACGATGTTTAGTTGTTTTACCATAGGTGAGTTCTCTCATTCTTTCTAGTCTCTATTTAACACTAAGATTTTTCTCGTTGGAATAGTAGTTTTACTTCTCTAAAAGAGATATTTTTGTTGGCATGGACCCAGTTACTGTAGTTTTCTTTTGGTGGCAGGTCAATATGGATCTCATGGTGCCCAGGGCAGGGAAGTCCTGAGTGAGAGCAAGCTGAAAGATATGTTGCATGGGTCAGAATATGTTCTCACTTATGAGGATAAAGATGGTGACTGGATGTTGGTCGGTGATGTTCCATGGGAGTAAGTCTTTATCCCTCTTTTTGTGGTAGGCTCCTCTATTTTTGTGCACTTTTTCACTTGGGTCAGAATATTTTCTCACTTAATTATTCAAGCCTGTGTAAGTGTGTATCTAGCATGTTAGAAAAATTGCAGTTATTTGTAATGATTAAGAATCTTTTTGTCAACCATAAAAATGGAAAGTGAAACAACTGAAATGGCAATCTTAATGTTTCCTATGGATTTGAACTGCAAAATTCAACTTCTTTGATGAGCACCACTCTTGCCTCATCTTTATCAAACAAGCTGAAATACCACTGTGTATTTCAACTTCTTCTCAATGCATTGACAAATTTCAATGTATTGCTTTTTCTCTGTTTTTAAATCAGATTATTGTAAAACTTAGAATGTTTGTAATTCTTTTTCAAAGCATGTCCACTGCAGTCCTTTTTATTGTTTGCAACTGTTGCAGGATGTTTACTGATACTTGCAAGAGGCTGAGGATAATGAAGAGCTCTGATGCAATTGGACTTGGTAAATATATTCTAGTCTTAGTTTAAAACTTAAATCACATCTTTGCATGGAATTTTAACGGAAATGTAGCTCTCATCTCCATCATTCTGCAATGGAGCATTTACACGAAGTAAATACTTGTTTTCCTGAACAATGTGAGTGCTTATGCACTGCTTAATGCTGCATATATGTTTCCAAGCTTTTATTTGGTAGTCGATCTGAACATGGTCTGCTGTATGTCCCAAAACAAAGGATGGCACTATCAGATACCATAAATCACATGACACAAACTCTCTATCATGTCTTCTCCATTTGAATTCTTTTTAATGCGTTCTTTTTCTCTGTGTGCAGCCCCAAGGGCCGTCGAAAAATCCAGGAACAGGAACTAGTTTGCATCACAGATGATTGTTGCTATGTTACAAAGATAAAGAATCACCTAAACAAGATTCTTACGAAGAACACAAGGAGTTGAGGATGCTGGACTGGGTAGGAGGTCCTGGCTTATCTGCTTTTATCATAAATGTTGCTATGTTATCCCATAACCGTCCGAGAGCGAATTTATGTTATGGAAGCCCTGTTTCAGTCTATTTGAATCATAAAACCACTAAAGCTAGTATTTGTGACTTTGTGAGTACCTTAAGATCGCTATCATGTAAGAGTCCAGACAAGTTCCTGTTCTCATACAGGGTATATTTCAGTTTGTAAAGTGCATTATGTGTCGAACTGCCTTATCATGTGTGTGTATGGTGAAAGACCTACAAGTTATCTGTAATCCTAACGTGACTGTATTCACCTTGTGTCTGGTTTCTTGTGCGTATAATTGAGTCTATTACTAACATGTTTCGGTAACGTTTAAGTTACATCTCTAGCAAAATGGGCAGGCACTATATTGTCTAGATGTTAAATTCTATTATTTTTGGCTGTGTTTTAATGCGTAAACTATTGAGATAATGCGAGCCCCATCGGATTTGATTGTCGGCGAGTATCCATAACAAAGCATGTGATATTCTGCATTATTGTTGTGCACCTGTGTTGCTCAGAATAAATTATATGGGAAAGTGGGTACTGGAGAGCTACACCAGGGGCTGGGTGGTAGGAGTACAAAAATGTTGCCATTGACCTACAGAACGGAGCTGGTACCATTATCTACTGTTTTTCACTGTCCTTGTGTAGCTTAGTTAAAAATAGTAATTGTCAAGTGGGTTTTTCGTATACACGTGTAGATATATAGTCTTCTGCTTCTCAAGTTGGAAAGGTCCCCCCCTCTGAAATGCTCTAGCTGTGGATGTACAAAGTGGGCATGGCTTGAAATCTGATATTGACTGAAGGAGATGGAAATGAAATAGAAATGTTACTTCATCTGAGTAACCACTTGAAGGTGAAGGCCCCATGAATTAATGAAATGAAAGAGAAGAGATGGTGTGAAGCAGTACAATTTGTTTCTATAATGGATGGTGAGTGAAGGATAGGGATGCAAATATGAAGCAGGAAAATTTGGTTGGTGGGTGAAGTGGGAGGCACTTGGGAATTGGGACATGGATAGGGATGTGATTGTGAATCTCTTTTTACTCATTTATCTGTAGAACACTTGAATTATTTTGCAGGTCAACATAATTGGGAGGTAACCAAAAAAAAAAAAACATTTGGGATCTGGAAGGGAAAGGGAAGAGAATTTCATTCCACCTCGAACTTATAGATCAGAAAATGAGGCTGTAGGCACCAGACTGGGTCTGGAAAATTCAATAGAGGTTTCTAAAAAATAAAAATTCAATTGTGATATTAACGGATTAATAAATAAGGAATGAAATTGGGCTTCAGACCTGATGGAATAAGAAAACACAGTATAACTTTATTGGGTCGACGACTACAAAGTCCAAAGTCCAAATATCACTTTTGGAAAAGACTCAAATCTTCTAATTACCATTTTCCCCCGTTCGAGAGTCCAATCAAACCATCTTTTGTCCATGCATGAACTTCTGTGTTGCTTTGATGTTGATTAATAAAGACAGACCCAAGCGAAATGGACAGTTTGTGCCCAAATCCAGTTGAGTATATGACCTGACTGTGAGGATACATCCAGAACAAGTCCTCCTGAAAAAATCCACTCCAACGCCGAACTGCCCAAGTCCTGCACGGAACTAGGTCGAGATGGCATTTCGGCTGCGAATTACAGTCGCACAACTCGCCCACGTGGGCGCCTCACACTGAATTTGTATCCCCGCAAATCACTCTGGACATGCCACATCTTATTCTGCAGAACACCCTGATTCAATCACGTAGACCTCACTCCTAGCTTATAAATATTTCGTGGGGTATTATAAAGGTAATTTCCTTCGATCTCCAGTCATTCCTTTGTCCATTTTGATTATTGAGTTTGTCATTGCTGATTTTTTTTTTAGATACAACTGATTATCAGCTATATAAGATGGATAATCTTCTCTTATTCTTCAATCTCTCCCCATCTGAGTCTTCTCTTATTTTCAAATTCCTCCCCATCTAATTCAAACAGTGGTGGAGCAAAGAATTTTAGTCGGGGTTGGATTTTCAAGTCTCAAAATAACACATTATAATTTCAAAAGTTTACTTTTATATCATAAATTAAAATAATATTCGATAAGTTTTTATATCATGAAATCTATCTATTATAGAATCTATATTAAATATCTAAACTATTTCCTTTTCAGTATAAAGTATAAACAATCAAAGGATTTGAAAGAAATTCATCATTCATTTTGTTGTAAAATTTTGTTTTCACAATTTTCATAAAAAAAAATGTTCTTTTGGTTATTGCCGTAAAAACTGGAAGAGTAAATAACAAAGTAATTAACTTGTAAATGAGACTGTAAACGAGACTGCAAACCTCTGATTTCCTCATCTCTACAAGCCATTGACATAGCTCAGAAATATTTGACAAATTCCGAAAACCTTGATCACAACTTATTTCAATCTCATAATGTCGAAGCTCTAATCTCAAATGAAGTTTCTCCATCTTTGAAAATCCTGAGAATAGTATTTTTCTACAATGTCACAAATATGATCAATATTAACCTTTTGCACCTGTTTTTAGAATCTAAAGCACCACTAAGAGTCAATAGTTTCATAGCGTTCTTATTAAATCTACAATTCAATTATTGCAATTGAGAATCTATTGCAGCATTGAAATATATATTCGATAATGATGCTCAATAGTAATAATATTTTATTGATGTCGAGCACGTCCTCCCCGTGCAATATATGTGGCAAACATGTCAAGAACATTTATACTGTTATTGTCACAGAATAATTTTACCTTTTCAAGTAAAGAATCCCATCCACTTTCTTTAAATTGTTAAATGAGAGCCTTTGTTCACTCGACAAGATTTAAGACATTCAAAATATTTTGAGATTTACACTGCAAAGCTTGACAAAGCAAATATGTGATCTCCATGATTTCTTTCATAAGATGTAAAACAAAAATAAACTCAAAAGACATCAACGCATTATATCTTGCAAATAAAAAACAAAATATTAGTTATCTTCAATAATTTTTTTTAAGATGTAGATTTCAAACAAATTATAGAAAATTCAATATGTTAGATTACCTTTAAATGCTTCTCCACGTTGTGAAGAAGTAGATCCTTCCTCAATCAACTTGCTCAAAACAATAAAAGTTGCACTAAACATTTTTAACATACTTAAAATAGATTTCAAATGTGAACTCCAACAAGTGTCACCAGGTCGTTGTAGGGTGCCAATCTGATTAAGTCCACTTCCAGTTTCAAGCTCATCATTTTCAATCAAACGAGCAATATCAAAAGTATAAATAGATTTCAATTCATCATTACGCTTAGAAGAAGCTACAACAACATTAACAATGCATGTCAAGTTTGAAAAAAAATTATACACGGGAATGACCTCCTCTGATGATACAACTAAAGTTAATTACAAACGATAAGCTAAACAGTGAATGTAGTGAGTATAAGGACATTCTTGCTAATCAAAGCTTGAAGTCCGTTAAACTCACCTCTCATATTACTTGCACCATCATATCCTTGACCACGAATGTTTTGAATGTTAAGATTATAATGAGAAAGTAGAGAAACAATAGCATCTTTTAAAGTTTTAGTGGATGTATCTGTCACATGAACAACACCAAAGAAACACTCTCTCAAAAATCCTTTCTCATCAACAAATCTTAGAACGAAAGCCATTTGCTCCTTCTTTGACTCATCTCTTACTTCATCAACAATAATACAAAACTTAGTATCACCTATTTCTTGGTGAATAGTTTCTCTCACTTAATCTGCCAAAACTTGTAAAATCTCCTTTTGAGTTTTTGGTGAAGCATACAAAGCATTTTGAGGAGCATTCTCCATGACAAGTTTAACATTTTCATTATAAAATGACAATAACTTCAACATAGACCTGGCAAAAATCCACTTGACCCGTCAACCCGACCCTAACCCAATCCGTAAAAATGGATTAGGGTCTACATATCCCAATCCCCAACCCGTAGATAACTCATATTATCAACCCATACGGGTAACAGGTTGGATTAGGATCAACCTGCGAGTTGACGGATTGACCCGTTTGTTTTATTTTTTATTATTATTTTTAAATATGATACTTATTATTCTTAATTAATTTTCCTATTAGTAACTCTTTCTATTAATTCATACTCCCTAATTTTTAGAGAAAGACAAAGAAATTATGATGAGTTTGATCTAATTATTCAAGTATCATTTTTTTTTTTTTTTGGCATTAACAATTACCCAAGTATCATGAATGAAATGATTATACAACTAAAAATATTAAAAGATGTGATGCTAGGACGTAAACACAATAACTTAGTGAAATATGTTCTTGGAAGAGCAATTTCATCATTAAAAAAAGGCTTAAACTACTTGATAATGTTTCAAGATAATTATAAAATTAAAACTTTATTTTCCAAGAAATTTAAATATTTTACATTTAATATTGTTATTGTTAATCAACTTATTATTATTTATAACTTTATGATTTTTTCTTAATTTAATTGTTTGCGGTTGAGAGTATAAAATACTTAGTTTTAATGAATCACAATACTTTAATTAGATTTAGATATATATAATTTTATTTGTATGTAATAAAATTAAGGCAGAATACCCAAATCCACCCCCAAAGTGCAGTGGCAGGGACAGATCCACCCTCGAACAAAAAATGGGGACAAATCCACCCACAAAGTTTTCGACTTGGACAAATCATCCCAAATTTAACGTGTGACATCATTTGATATCAGCAATCTGTTAATTTGACATCATCTGATGTCAGCAATCCGTTAACGAATTAACGAATTGCTGATGTCAAATGACGTCACATGTTAAATTTGGAGTGATTTGTCCAAATTGAAAACTTTGTGGATGGATTTGTCACTGTTTTTTGTTCGAGGGTGGATCCGTCCCTGCCACTATACTTTAGGGGGTGGATTTGGGTATTTTGCCTAAAATTAATAAAAAAATAATTATAAAGAATGAAAATAATGTCAACCCGCGGGTTAACCTGTAACTCGTTAGGGTTGCACTTTTTTAACCCGTAATCTATTCATAACCCAACCCATATAACCTGTCATCCAAGTTGACCCAACCCAAACTCGACCCAACCTGCCCGTTTGCCAGGTCTATTCAACAATTCAATAAAATTCTCGCAATTGCTCAAGTTGCTACTTTCATCATGACCTCTAAAAGCACAACCTTGAGTTGCAAGCCATTTCACTACATCAATAGAAGCTTGAAGTCATAGACGATTGTCTAAAACTTGTTATGTAGTCTTCTTATGAAGCAAATGTTCAATGTGTTGAGATTGCTTCATCAAATCTT